GGGAGACCAATTTTGTTTGGTGATCTCCCAATAGTGCGTGAGTTCCCAGACGTATTTCCCTAGGAGTTGTCGGGTGTGCCTCTAGAGAGGTAGGTGGAGTTTTGCATCGATTTGATTCCCGGGTCCGCGCCAATTGTTAAGGCGCCTTATCGCCTAGCATCGCCATAGATGCAGGAGTTATCCTCAGAGCTGCATGAGCTATTGGGGAAGGGGTTTATTCGTCCGAGCAGATCGCCTTGGGGAGCATCGATCCTCTTTGTTAAGAAGAAGGATGGTTCACACCGGATGTGTATTGATTATCGGGAGTTGAACAAGTTAATGGTTAAGAACCGTTATCCGTTGCTGAGGATTGATGACTTATTTGATCAGCTGCAGGGGGCATCTTGGTTCTCCAAGATTGATCTGAGGTCTAGATATCATCAGATGAGGGTGTGTGATGAGGATATCCAGAAGACGGCATTCAGGACGCATTATGGGCACTATGAGTTTGTGGTGATGCCTTTCGGGCTCACCAATGTGCCAACAGCATTCATGAATCTCATGAACAGAGTATGTAGGCCGATACTGGATCGATCGGTGATCGTGTTCATTGATGATATTCTGGTGTATTCTAGATCCCGGGAGTAGCATGAGGAACACTTGAGAGAGGTTCTTAAGGTGTTGAGATCGGAGAGGCTTTATGCCAAATTCTCCAAGTGTGATTTCTGGTTATGAGAGGTCCAGTTCCTAGGGCATCTCATTAATCAGGATGGGATATTGGTTGATCCATCCAAGATTGAGGTGGTGATGAGTTGGGAAGTGCCAAAGTTTGCTACCGAGATCAAGAGTTTTCTGGGGTTGGCTGGTTATTATCAAAGATTCAATCAGGATTTCTCCATAATTGTAGTGCCACTCACTAGGTTGACTCGGAGGGGTGTTTCCTTCTCATGGGGTCCAGAGCAGCAGACCTCGTTTGAGACCCTTCGCCATAAATTATGCGAAGCCCTGGTGTTATCCCATCCAGAGGGAGTTGATGATTTGTGGTTTACTACGATGCATCGATATCTGGGTTAGGGGCAGTGCTTATGCAGAGGGGGGCATGCGATAGTGTATGCATCGAGGCAGCTGAAGCCTCATGAGGTGAGGTATCCCACTCATGACCTGGGTTAGGTGCCACTATCTGTATGGGATTCGGTGTACCATATACACGGACCACAAGAGTTTGAAGTATTTGATGGATCAGCCCAACTTGAACATGCGGAAGAGGAGATGGTTGGATGTGGTATAGGATTATGATCATGAGATCCTGTACCACCCGGTCAAGGCGAATGTAGTAGCTGATGCCCTGACTCGGAGGGCAGAGAGTCCCCCCGATCCGAGGTATGTGTATGAGGATGACTGTGATGACTCCGGTGTTGGATGCCATCCGAGAGGCCCAAGCCGAGGCTGTAAGGCCGGATAATCGTAAGAAAGAGCGAGTGATTGGGCAAGTATCTAAGTTTGTGACTGATAGCCGAGGGCTTATGACATTTCAGGGTCGTATTTGGGTATCATTTATTGGTGGGGCATGTAGCATCTTGATGGAGGTTCTCGATCCATCCCGGGCCCACCAAGATGTATTTGGATCTGAAAAAGAGAGATTATTGGTCGTCATGCATGAAGAGGGATGTAGTGTGGGTTGTAGAGAGGTGCTTGACTTGTCGTCAGGTTAAGGCCGCGCACCAGCATCTGTATGGTAAGTTGCAGCCACTCGAGGTTCCCTAGTGGAAGTGGGAACAAATCTCCATGGATTTCATCACCAAGTTACCTAGAACCCCAAGGGGTGTCGATGCGATTTGGGTGATAGTGGATCGACTAACGAAGAGTGCCCACTTTCTTTCTATCAGTGAGAGCTCTTATGCGGAGAAGTTGGCGGAGATGTATGTGGGGGAGATAGTGTCTCAGCATGGGGTACCGATTTTGATTGTGTCGGATCAGGATGTACGTTTTACTTCCAGGTTCTAGAAGAAGTTTCATGAGGAGCTGGGTACGAGATTGCATTTCAGCACTGCCTATCACCCTTAGAACGATGGTCAGAGTGAGTGGACTATTCAGACTCTTGGGGATACGCTTTGTGCATGTGTATTGGATTTTGGAGGGAGTTGGGACACGTATCTGCCTTTGGTTGAGTTTTCCTATAACAACAGCCATCATTCGAGCATCGGTATGCCTCCTTTTGAGTTGTTATATGGGAGGAGGAGTCAGACTCCCATTTGCTGGGGAGAAGTAGGGCAGCGGGTGATGGGTAGCACATATATAGTGCTACAAACCACCGAGCAGATTCAGCAGGTCAGACAAAGGTTGTTGACAGCCCAGAGCCATCAGAAGAGTTATACAGATAGACGACGGTCAGAGCTCAAGTTTCAGGTGGGTGATTTCGTTCTCCTAAAAGTCTCACCTTGGAAAGGTTTCATTCAATTCAGGAAGAGAGGCAAGTTGGATCCTCGGTATATTGGTCCTTTCAGGGTGACCGCCAAGGTGGGCAGGGTAGCATATCGTTTGGAGCTACCTGCGGAGTTGAGTCAGATCCATGATACCTTCCACGTGTCTCAGTTGAGGAAGTGTATCGCCGATGAGTCAGCAGTGGTTCCATTAGAGTACATTCAAGTGGATGCGAGCCTGAACTATGTTGAGAGGCCGATCGCGATTCAGGATAGGAGGATCAAGGTTTTGAGAAACAAGGAGGTTTCATTGGTTCAGGTCCAGTGGCAACATCGGAAGCGGTCCGAGCTGACTAGGGAGCCGGAGTTAGAGATGCATGAGCAGTATCCAGAGTTATTTGCTGAGCGAGACTTCGAGGGCGAAGTCTGATTCTAGTGGGGGAGAATTTTAACACCCAGTTTCCCATGTGTATTAATTTATGTTGTACTTCTTTAATTATGTGAGGTGACTCGACGAGTTGGTGCTTAGACTCGTCGAGTCTGGTCGCAAATGGATGACGTGGTTAATGAAGGGACTCGACGAGTCAGGGGAGTGACTTGCCAAGTCAGAGCTAGCGAAAGAAACCCTAATTTCTCGGGTTTGGGACCTATTTAAAGGCCCTTATGGCCTTCATTTGCGGCTACCAGTCCATAGAGAGAAACCCTAGAGTGCTTGAGCATTTTGAGAGAGAAAGGAAGCCATTCTAGAGCTTTGTGGTATTGTCTAGAAAGAAGAAGGAGGTCCTAGCCAAGAGGAAGCAAAGGAGGTTGCTATTCTGTGGATTTGAAGCTAAGATCATCGCATTTGCGGTAGTAATACGAACCTTCTTCTATTTTATGATGAATATATGGACTTAGGGTTTCTTGGGACCTTTGTTAGGTTGATTTGATGTCCAAATAGTCCCTTTCTGGTGATGAGGCTTTGGATCTGGATCCATAGAGGTCCAGAGAGTCATACTCATCAAGCTTTATGAAGAACAATGGAGGTTATGACCTTGGGTTATGGTATTTGGGGCTAAATCATCATATATGGTCATATAGATGTTGCAAGTGCATCAAGATAGAGACTTTACGTGATTAATGAGCTTGGGGAGGTTAGATCTAAGGATTAGAGGAATAGATCTGACCTTAGAAGGTTGTTTGAGGTTGTGCATGAAATGAACTCACTGAGTCCATGAGTAGACTCGATGAGTCGGAGAGGGTTGTCCCATGACTCAGATTAGTGGATGACTCGCCGAGTTGGGTAAGTGACTTGGTGAGTAAGAAAGGATTCAAAGGACTCGAGTTCACGTATGGACTCGATGAGTCTATGCAAGAGTCGACGAGTAAGGTAAAAGGTTGACCGTTGACCAGGGTTGACTAGTGTTGACTTAATAGTGTTAGTCAAACTAAGTCAGGAAAGTAGTACTTAGAAATGTACTTATGATGTAGGAGGACGACAGGTCGGGGAATCAAGCACGAGTAATTATCCGACATCAGCGAGGTGAGTCTTCTCACTATGCCAAACCCGATGGGGTAATTATGAGTGAACGGAAGGTATTATGTGTATGATGTTTATGTGATGCATGTTAAATATGTGATATGTTATGATATGAGTATGATGATACGGACCGGAAGGTCAACAGAGTATGGGTCGGAAGGTCAACAGAGTTATGGGATGGAAATCCCTTGAGACACTTGGATCGGAAGATCCTATAGAGTTATGGCTTGGAAAGGCGTATGTGTTGTATGTGGTATTTTGGGGAACTCACTAAGCTTTTATTCTTACAGTTGTGTGTTATGTGTTTCAGGTACCAGTGATGATCACGGGAAGGCGCCGGCATGATCAGTACACACTTGCAGATGATATGTTTTTGAGATCTTAGGATATGGATTATGTATTGTGTTTTGTGGAAATATTGGATACATGATTTTGTAATGATTTGGAAATGAAATGTTTTTATTAAAAATTAAATGAAAAATTGTTCGAAATTTAACGGTGTTACACGTCTCAACAAATAGGTTCGTGTTCTGTGGGTCAAGTGTTGCCGATAAATATTCTTTTTAAACATTCAGAAGCAAATCATCCTAAAGTTGTTATTACCGCGCACATAAACGTTTCGGTATGCTATTTTTTTTATTATTTAAGGCTGGGGTCTTGAATCATGGTGTTTGGGTCCCCTAGTTATGATAGTTGATTCTACGCTTCCGATAACTATCCGGTCGCGTCAATATTTTTTTTTTCATTTGAGTTCTCGATTTCCTACTTCATGGAGCTATTGTATGTAAAGAATGTCATCATCTCGTACACATTTTGTTATTTTGAAAATGCATGCATGAATATGAAATGCAAAACTAATAAAATGCAAAAACTTGAAATAAAAACTCTTTTTTTAATGATGATGATGATGCATGAAAATGATATAAAAATGAAAAATATTAAATGCAAAAACTTGAAATAAGAACTATCCTTTTTTTAAAGAAAGGTATGCATGAGTATGAAATGCATCTAATGTACAACTCTACCCCTCCCCAAGCTTAAAGATAAGCATCGTCGCCGATGCTTGGAGAGGGCGGAACAACCTATTGCGGACGAGGAGGAGGATAAGGATAGTAATTGGAGTTTCGGGTCCAAGCCCAAAAGTCCTCATGTTTATGCTGGCGCTCTTGATCCCCAGTGTATTGAGTGGAGAAAGAAGAGAAAATTTGATTCAGGCTCGCGATATCTTGATTGTAAGTGTCGAGGCAGTTATGGATCGATTGAAATTGATCCATATATTGCTGGTGATAAGATGGGTGTCCAGCCTGATGGGATGAGCTGGCACCACCCATGGGAGGAGAATTTTGTGGTGCTGCCCCGCCACTCTCGTCGCTGTCTCCATCTTCATCTTCATCTTCTTCCTCTTCGAAGAAGGAATCGGGAAAGAGATATAGTGTGATTTTCCAGTCGGTGAAATTGTTGGGTTGCCTGAGGGCAAGGATATCCCGATTTTCTGGGGGTGATGAGGAGCCGTGGATCATGGTTTTGACCCACGGTCCAATTATGGTTCCCGTCCTCCACCCGAAACATTCTTGTAGACTGAAGGATTCTCGTGGTAAGGTAGGTCTCACCGAGAAAAGGTTGGTGAATTTTGGGGTATCGGGCCCGAAACATTCTCATAGACTCCGTAATTGTTTTGTGAATTGAACTAAGTAACAAGCATTAAATTGATTTCTTATGAATGAATTTAGTGTAAATCTTTTCACACATTCTTACACTCCTGAGCTTGTGAGGAGTATTGGGTGTTGTTGGGAACATTCACAATAAGCTTAATGTAATCTTTTAATCTAATTCTAAGAGCTTGTTTAGATTAGGTTAGTAAGGTTAGGATTAATCAAAGAGCTTGTTTTGATTGATTAATGTGGTGAATCGAAAGTGTTAGAACTTGTTAACACTTTCAAGTACCAGCTTAGATAGAATGAAACAAATGTCTTGTCATCCTGTGTCTCTGTGGATCGACCCTACTTGCCTTGTACTACCTTTTAGTGCAATATAGTGGGATTCTTTTGGAGTATATCGTACCCCTTTATTTGTTGGGTTTGACACGCCTAACAATATATATATATATATATATATATATATATATATATATATATATATATATATATATTGAAATAAATTATTTACACCTATCGCTTAGCGTAGGTAAACGGCTAGTGTGTATGTGTGTGTGTGTCTATATATATAGACACACACACACACACACACACACACATATATATATATATATATACACACACACTAGGTGTGAGATCCGTATACTACACATGTTGATTAAAATAAAAGTAAAATATCAAGGTGTAAATATTAAGTATTTAAAAAGTAAACCAACATTCAAACTTTTCAAAAGAATCATCATTAATCATAGAATTTCAAACAGTTGTTTTTATACAAAGTTGGATGATTTGTCCATAATTGTGTAATCGTTAACCTAAATTAACATGTGAAATAATTTGAAGATATGAGCAACGTTGTTTAGGTCTAGACTTATGATAAAGTTATCATGTTATACAATGAAATGTACACTTTAATAAATAAAAAAACAAAGACAATCAATAATGAAAATGTAACATCCTATTTCGAGATGTTTCTTATTTCAAGATTGTGGGTGATAAATGGGTCAAGTAAAGGTATTGGACTTCAATGGAATAATGTTTAGACACTATTAGATGGTGATAATATTGGTTGTATGATCTAAGATCTTGATTGCATTTGGAGTCAAAGGGTAAAATGGTAAAAGTGATGTTTGAGACTTCTTTTATGAATTTAGGATTTCAGTTCAGAAGGTGTTAAGGTGAAGGAGAGTTGATAGCATTGTAGAGCTTCTCATTACCTTTTCGTGGATATAAATATCGCTATAATAGGAGTTGAAGCGAAGAGGATATGACTGTTTAAAGTCAGGATGGTTTTGGGTTAAGCCACATATGCTGGGCATACTAGGGTATCCTTAAGTATACTGGGTCTACCAGAAAACGTTGGGAGTATGCGATCAGTGCTCAAACCATATTTTTGTGGTTTGATCCCTATTTAAGCTACTTAACTTCCTTAAATCCATTCCATTCTCAGCTTCCGCCTCTACAACACCCTCCCTTGAAACCCTAACCATAGTTTGAGCCTTGTGAGCAAAAAGAAGCTGTTTTTAAGTGCTTTCAAGTGTTCTTGGTGCATCTTGGAGAAGAAGGAGCTCATTGGAGAAGTGTTGGTTGCATTAGAGCTTGTAGATCCATACTTCGTTCACCTTGATCTTTCTTCTAGAGGTATAAAGCTTGAATATTGATGATGCATTTGATAGATCTAGCTTATTTTGGCTGTTATGAGCTGTTGGCCACTGTAGTGCATAAAGTTTAGATCTTGAGAGTTTGTGACCTTGTTATGGATATAGCTTGAAACTTTATCAATCTAAACATCATATTGATTTAGATCTGAAGGTTGGAGATTTAGACTTAATGGATTAAGTTGAAAAAGATGCACTTATGGTCCCTTAGAGACTTAAAGACTAGATATTGGTTGTTTGGACCATTCTAATGGATAAAGTTGGAAACTTTATCCATTATGGAGTTACTTGTGGCCATGGAGGTTCGCCTGCAGTGACTCCAGGGCATGAGGCAAAGCTTCATGTTTGCAGCAGGGAATTGGTCGGTGCGCGAAAGCTGGCCTGGAAACCCTCGTTAGGGAAGTTCCATTTCCATAAAAAAAATGTGATCTTGGACCTCGTATCCTTTCCATACTAAAGTTAAGATGTCTTAATGGATAAATAAGTTAGGTTTTAGCTTTTGAACCTTTTCTAACCATGGAAAGTCATAAAGGTGGAAAGTTTATGACTTAAGTCGATGTTTTGAGATTAGATCGGAGTTTGGATGTTTTGGTCTCAAGCATTAAGTCTTTAAATGAGAAAATGGTCACCAAGGGGGTACGTTGGGCGTACATATGCGCATGCTTAGTGTAATACATGCTTTCCCCGATATCATATGGTGGCAGATTGTACATTAGGCATCAACATGTAGTATGTGGGGCGTACTCGTGAAACCCTCTTTTTGGGCCTTTTGGGCATCGGGTCTTTTGGGAGTTGGACCATGAGTTGTTGTGTCAAATATGGGAAGGGTAAAATGGTCTTTTATCCTGGGCGTTGGACAAATAAACTAAATTCTTGGTTTTGGTTTATGGCCCAATTATTAATTGGGGTGTTATTTGATTGGTTAGTGCAGTGATTCTTTGATTCAACAGCTCGAGCATCTGTTTAACTGACAGCAGACTGAGGTGAGTTTGTTCACTATACTGTAGGACACTAGGAATTGTATGTACTTGTAGTCTTTATGACTTATGTTGTATGTGTTATATGCATGTGTGAATGTTTACTATATGAAAGTGGGGTGAAATAGATCTGGCACAACCTTGTGCTGACATATGAGTTGAAATAGACTCATAGGTGAAATAGACCCGGGATTGAAATAGACCCGGTACAATTTTGGGCCGACACATGAGCTGAAATAGACCCGGGGGTGAAATAGATCTTACAAAGCCTTGAGTTGGCATATATGTATCGTATATGATATTTTGGGATAGCAGCGCATCCAGCCATGTTTCCACACTTTATGATTTTGGAATTGTATCCTGATAACTATTTTTACTCTGATATATTTTGAATGACTGAAATGATTAAATGATGTTTACGGTTGAATAAAAAATGTAATTTTTACCTTAAATTTTTTGGGACGTTACTTTTAATATCATTGTTTATTTAAAATTAGAAAGTAATGTAATGTAAAAATTAAAAAAAAAAAACATATGTCAGCACACAATGACAAACTAAATTACAAATCTGAATGATAAATATGTATGAATTATAAATAATAAATAAAATATATTATAAAATTAATAATTGTAATCATTAGATGTGACATCCCCATTTTCACGGAAAAAAAAGACCAATTTTGTTTATGCTTTATAAAAATCAGAGTACATCTTTTAATAAAAATGTTGTGGAATTTGTTCCCAGTAAAACATGATAAATACGTTATCAATTTTAACACATTCAACTGTTGCGGAATTTGTTCCTCTACTACCTTTCACACCTACTCATACACGTCCCAAGTATTGTCTCTCAGTTCACCAAGTCATTATCACAAAATCAATTTTAACACATTCAAACGTGTCCAAACAATCATATAATTTTCCATAGAATCTACTAGGGTTTCTTCCATGTGTATCTTCAATCATCATTTCTGCTTTAACTCGGTTGGTGATGGTAATGTCAGACGACGGGATAACTTCATGGATTATACCAAAAATCTTTCTTTCTACTAATCGAGCGTGTACTTCTCCTATCCTAGACGTATTATTTATTAGATGCATTCTCAAGGCAAGATATCACTCTTAAGATATCTTCCGATAGGTATCATTCACTATCGTAAGCTTTTTCATTTCCTCCATTTACTCAATTCACTACGAGTCTTCACCGTGATGTTATGCACACCAAATCAGTTGTTTGGTGTATCGAGACAATAATATAGAGAAAGGAAGGTTTAGACATGTATTCTTCCTTTTTACTTTGAGAAATTACATGCCAGTTGTAATATCGTAATTAAACGCATAGAAATCTGAACACATAAAGTTTCCAGGTCCGGTTGGCAACGAACCATAGATCCGTTGAAGCGATAGCATCATAAATAATCGCAAATCATTTAGCACATAAAATAAGTTTAGGTATCTTCCATAAATGAGCTAGTGCTCGTGTCTATTCAGGTGTACTTCCCAAAATATATTAGAGACACTCCTCACAATCATCGTTTAGCATTCTAAGTTTAAGTCTAGAAATAAATCCAAATTCCTAGTTCGCTTAAACTAATGCTCTGATACCAACTTTGACATCCCCATTTTCACAGACAAAAAGACTGATTTTGTTTACGCATTATAAAAATCAGAGTACCTTTTTAATAAAAATATTGCAGAATTTGTTCCTAGTGAAACATGATAAATATGTTATCAAAGCATTTCTGAAGAAAAGTATTTTTATTCATTATAAAACTTTTGGGATGTCATCGTCAATACATAAACATAAGCATAAACAGAACTTACATTCATATCACTAATGATTTATATCTCCTTAATCTCTTAGTGTAATTGGACTTCATATCAACACCTGCGATATAAATAAACTGAGTGGGTCAGGTTGGGAAACCTGTTGAGTACATAGGGTGTTCAACCCACCATAAATAAGCTTATTAACTTTATCAAACCAAACAAACCCAATTACCAGTTCCCGTTATACTCACTTTACGTCCCTAAAACATCTAACATAAGGTATCTAGTCTAAGGACTTTCAACGGGGTGACAACACATGCTTCGGGGGTTCCTCAACAATTCATGTCAAATAAGGCAACCATGTGGGGGATGGAGTACTACTGGTGAGCACACAGTTCAAATAAACACCTACAGGTTACGAGCCTACTAGCGTTCCAGTAAACTGTCTAGAATAGTCTTT